CTCTGACAATGGCTGCTCTTCCTTCCTCTTCCACATTTTAGGACCCTTTTGGTGACAGTGGGCCCACCTGGATAATCCAGGATAATGTCCCTATTATTATCCATAATTTCATCCACAAACTTAATGCTCATTTGCCATGGAACCTAATGTACTCACAGGTTCTAGGGATTAGGGCATCCCTGAGGGTGTTATCCTGCCCACCATAGTCTCCCTGCCGTATTCTGGAAGCTGAGGAAATAGGATTGAGGAGGAAAGTGAGCCCAGGCAGTAGCTGGAGAGTCTGCACCCTTGGCTTGGAGCTGCCTCCAAGTGGCTCACCTTTCCCACTGCCTCCACCCCCACCACAGCTGCCCCATCACTAACAGATCTCCTCCAACCCCTGTTCTTTTCCTAAATGTTGGTCAAAATGGTCATTAAGTAAAGCAGCATTTTTCCACATCCCTACCCTTGACTTACTTTTTCTTTTGAAAGTACCCAGGCTAGAGTGCCGTGGCATGATCATAGCTCACTATAGCCTCAAACTTCTGGGTCCAAGCAATCCTGTGCACCACCATGCCCAGCTACTTATTTTATTATTTTTAGTAGAGACGGAGTCTTGCTATGTTGCCTAGGCCGGTCTGAACTCCTGGGCTCAAACAAATCCTCCCATCTTGGCTTCCCAAAGTGCTGGGATTATAGGCATGAGCTACCACACCTGGCCCCAACCCTTGACATTTTAGAGCCAACCATTCTTTGTTCCAGGGGGCTGTCCTGTGCACAGCACAATGTTTAACCACATCCTTGGCCTGTACCCACTAGCTGCCAGTAGCACCTCTCCACCCAGTGGTGACAATTAAAAATGTCTCCAGACATTGCCAAATGTTCCCTGGGAGGCCATCGCTGGGGTTGGGAACCACTGAAGTAATGCCTTTGATGTCTGTCTTCCCTGCTAGCAACACTGCGTCTGGCACCTGCAGAGAGCTCGCCGCTTAATCGGTGCTCAACACATATTGGTTGAACGAATCAGTGAACCTATGTTAACTTTCTTAATGAATAAATCTATAAGTGTGCGTGTATAAAATAGACTCCTGGTTTCCATAGACTGGCTGCCTGAGAATCACTCGGGGATCCTTGTAAGAAGTCACATTCCTGGGGTCCAGTCACAGAGGATTGGGGTGCAGCCTAGAAATCTGTATTGTCAAGAGTGCTTCATCAGTTCCCCCAAAAACTTAAACACATATACCATATAATCCAGCAATTTCCCTCCTGAGTATATACCCAAAAGAATGGAAAGCAGGGACTCGAACAGATACTTGTATGCAAATATCCATAGCAGCGTTATTCGTAATAGCTAAAAGGTAGAAACAGCCCACATGTCTATCCCCAAATGAACGATAAACAAAAGGTTGTATATCCGTACAAAAGAATATTATGCAACCTTCAAAACGAGTGAAGTTCTGACACATGCTGCAACATGGGCGAAGCTCGAGGACATTACGCTAAGTGAAAGAACAGACACAAAAGAACATGAATTGTAGGATTCCCTTATGCGAAGTATCTAGAGTAGTCACAATCATAGACATGGAGCATAGGAGGGAGGTTGCCAGGGGCTGGGAGGAAGGAGGGAACGGGAGTTAATGTTTAATGGGTTCAGAGTTTCAGTTTGGGATGATGAAAAAGTCCTGGAGACGGAAGGTGGTGATGGTTCCACAGCAATGGGAACATCCTTAATGCCGCTGACTCATTCACCTAAATAATGGTTAAACTGGTACATTTTATGTTATGCATATTTTGCCGCGTGCAAAAAATGGTGCTTCATGCCTGCAGGTCTGAGAATCAGTAGTGTGTGAAGGGAATGAGGAGCAGGGGATAGGCCTGTCGAGTTCTAACGACCCTCCCAGGCCTCACAGCTGCTGGGATGGGAATGTCTGACTCTGCTGAGCTAGGATTTAGGCTGATTTCTTGAGAGGATGGCCCTTCTCTGGGCGTGCATAGAACCTCTAGGCCGCCTGAATGAGAGCTGCGGCTGGATGAGGATTGACTCGTCTGGAGGCCACATGTACCGTCCCCCGGGCAGCTGCTGCCCAGCTCCGGCTGCTTCTTGCCATGTCAGGTGCCTGGCTGTGCGAGAGACGTCCAAGATCTGGATTTCGATGTGAAATCTCCTCATTTTTATTTATTGCAATATTTTTGGGGGAACAGGTGGTGTTTGGTTGCATGGAATGTTCTTTAGTGGTGATTTCTGAGATTTTGGTGCACCCGTCACCTAAACTGTGTACACTGTAGCTAGTGTGTAGTCTTTTATCCCTCACCTCCCTCCCACCCTTCCCCCAAGTCCCCAGCATCCATTATATCATTCTTAGGCCTTTGTGTCCTCATCTGGGAATCTCCTAATTTTTCAATGTTGGCACCCGGTTCAGTGAACAAGCAAGCAGACAAACAAGCCATCTAAGGGACACACTGGTGACCCTGCGGGCCTCTGGTCCAGCCTGCCGCTTTTCTGGGAGCTCACAGGCTGTGGCCCCAACTAGATCCTTGCTTCTGCTCCCGTTATGGCTGCCACGTCACTCCTGAAGTCTGACACCAGCTTTCTCTTTGATCCTCTGAGAATTTCTCTTGTATTCGGGGCACCCAGAAATGGTGGTTTATAGACAGAACAGCAAGAGCAAGAGCCCAGGGTCTGGATTCTGCTCAGGCTGGGATCTTGGCTCTGCCATTTATGAGCCACGGGGCCATCGGTGACTTGCGACCTTTCCCCCATGCCTGGATTTCCTCATCTGTCAACTGGGTATATAATAGTTCCGGCCGGCCGGACGCAGTGGCTCATGCCTATAATCCCAGCACTTTGGAGGGCCAAGGCGGGTGGATCACTTGAGGTCAGGAGTTTGAGACCAACCTGGCCAGCATGGTAAAACCCTGTCTCTACTGAAAATATGAAAAATTAGCTGGGCATGGTGGTGCATATATGTATTCCCAGCTACTCGGGAGACTGAGGCAGGAGAATCGCATGAACCCGGGAGGCAGAGGTTGCAGTGAATTGAGATCGCACCACTGCACTCCATCCTGGGTGACAGACTGAGACTCTGTCTCAAAAAAAAGAAAAAAAAAAAGTTCCTGCCTTGTAGAGTAAGGGTGAAGCCTGCAGGTGAGGGGCTTGGCCCCGGGCAGGGCCAGTACAGGGCTGAGCAGTATGCACGTGTATGTTTATGTGTGCATGAAATGTGTGGGCACTTATATGTGTGGTCCCCGTTGGCGGAAAGAGTGAGTGTGTTGTGGGTCGAGCCACCAGCAGGCCCAGTGATTTCTTCCTCGAAGAGTTATTCTGAGGATTAAACAAGGTCATGTACAGATGGAGCCTCACCACGGCAGGTGCCCAATATGCATTCCTTCTGTCCCTCAGAGTGTGAGACCTTGGCGGTCTGTGGAGATTTGCGAGGAGGACGCTGGGGCTGGTTGGAGAGGAGGGAGTTGGGTTGAAGATGCGATAAAAGGAGAGGAGAGAGATGGACTCCTCCCCATCAGCACCCTCTCCTGCTTCCTGGCCACCAGGAGCGGAGTTCTGGTCCCGTTCTCAGAGGCAGGTGCACTGGCTAATCAGGGCCATGACCTTAGCTTTCCAGGATAGCTTGGATGACAGTTAAGAAGCCCCGGTTCTGTGCCTCCTTTTAAACACACGCTACCTTGTTATCCCTCCTTTCAGCTTTGGGAGGAAGGCCTTACTGTCTCCAGTTCACGGACAAGGACTCAGAGATGGTGGGTTCTTGTCCAGGCTTGCCTGGGCAGCAGGGGACGGCCACAGGGCCAGAGCAAGGTGGAGGATGGGTTGGGCTGGCCCGGGGAGGGCTGGAGCTGAGTGCCACTGGGCTCCCCTGGGTTTGTTGGTGTGCAGACGGGGCCTTGTCCTGCCCAACCGACTCCTGGGAGGGTGAGAGAATGGAGGGGCTGCGTACCCACCCGAAACAAGCAGATGAGCTACATAAAATCCTGATAACCAAGGGGCACAAAGGTCTCCATGACCTGTGGTGAGTCACGGACAGATGGTGGCTAAGGGCCACTGTAAGGGTGGAGGGTGGGTGACAGCACCTCGGTCCCTGGGAGCCTTCCAGCCACATGGCACAGCAGTGCCTCCAGGTCCAAGGCCCAGACGCTGGTGGGCTCAGGGACACTCAGGCCCAGAGCTGCACCCCATCGCTATTTGCACCTGTGCTTCCTGACACCTGTCCACCATCCGTTGGACCAGGAGTGCGAGGATGATGGGAACACCTGTGTGCGCCTCATGTGGTTCTGCACGTTACACATGTCTGTGCATTACATGTGTTCATTACTAGTGCACGTTCATTGTGTGTGTGCATTACATGCTTGTGTGTGCATGTTCATCACGTCCATGTGCTCAGTATTCGTATGCACTGGGGAGGACGTGAGGCAGGGCCCCTCAGGAGTCCCTCCTTCCTTCTAGCCTCAGAGACTTTGGGGTTTGTGAGGAGGGAGAAGAAGGGGGTACTTGACAAATGGAAACTGAAGTCCTTTTCCCCCAACATCTGGCCTCCAGCTGGGGAAGGAGATTCTCCACAGAAAGCGAGAGGACAAAATGAGGGCCATGAGGGGCCATGGGCACCTGCCTGTGCCTCCGCCCCACAGGGATGTCCCAAGCTAAAGGGGAGGTTCAGACGTGGCAGACTTGGCCCCTGCTGTGGGAAGGCTGTGGTCTGGTGTGGGGGAACAGCAGTGGGGGATGCCTGGTGTGGGTGGAGTGCAGGGGAGCCCCGGGCCTCAGTGCTGGGGGATCGGAGTCGGGCAGGACTGTATGGGAGACTGAGGCTCAGAGCCCACCTGGGAGGAAGAGTGTGTGTGTTGGGGAGTGTGGTGTGTGTGTATGTGTATGTCTTGGGCTGGGGGTGTGTCACTGGCTTGACCTACAGCCGTCCCTGTCTTTCAGCCCAGGAGGCTGGTGGGCAGGCTCACTGCAGGGGCCCCGCAGGCTCTGGAGCCTCAGTCCGGAATCTTTTTCCCCATCTCTACAGGGGGCGGAGGAAAGCGCAAAGGGAAAAGCAAGAAGTGGAAGGAAATCCTGAAGTTCCCTCACATTAGCCAGTGTGAAGACCTCCGAAGGACCATAGGTAAGCTGTCCTGCCTGGGAGCCGTGGGGGGAGCGAGGAGCAGGTGAACCGCCAAGCCATCTGTGCATTGAGGCAAACGGGTGAGCTGCCAGGCCGTCTGTGCAGGGAGGCAAATGCCAATCAGTGGGCACAGCATTGTGCTTCCAGGTAGGGGCTCCAGGCTGACCTCTTTGCTAATGGACATAAACAGCCAACCAGTATTCACTGAATATATGGCATGTGCTGGGCAGAGTGACCTCCTCCCAGTTACACTTTGAGGCAGGTGCTATTATTTAATATTTCACTTCACCTTTCAGATGGGGAAACTGAGGCACAGAGTGGTTCTGTGACTGGCCCAAAGTCACACAGCTGGTGGGAGGGCAGTGGAGGTGGGCCAGGCCCAGCACAGAGTCCCCTCTTGTAACTTCTCCACTTTCTTCCTGGAGCCTGTGGGTGCTGCCCTCAGGAGGCAGCCCAGGCTTTGGGAGCTGAGAGCGGGGTGAGGTGGGGCTCTCCTTTCCACCTGCTGGGGATGCCAGTGCTCCTGAGGAGCCGCTGGGCTCGGTGGCACAGCTTAGGTCCCTGTATCCAGCACACACACACCAGGCACCTCTAAGAGCAGCCAACCAAGTGGGTCTGTGCCTGGTCCCATGCGGGACACAGCTGTGGTGAGGAGGCCTGGGTGCCTGGGCGACAGCCCCCAGGGGTCAGGCATGTTGTGAGGCCCTACTCCAGAGTGTTTGGGGCCCCGGCCCTTCTGCCCTCTGTGCCCTGGGGTGGGTCCTTCCCTGTCACCGCATGGGGGCTCCCCATCCGCTTATTATTGTCAGAGGTCATGGACATACTGAACACGTTGAAGAAGACTCAAGTCCAATGAAGGCTGGGCATGGGGTCGCGCCGCCCGGAACTCCATAGGCCCACCCTTTCTGGGACTTCTGCCCAGGGCCTGGGGTGAGCTGCCCCATGCCTGCCCTGGAATTCGAGGCCACGTGTAGCCATTTATTCAGCTTTTCTAAATGGTCTCTTCACGGCCTGGCCCCCCGAGTTTCCAGGGCCGGGGGGACTTACCTGCCACCCCCAGGCTTGCTCCGTCCCGGCCCCGGGCCAGTCAGTCCACACTCCACGTTGATAGGTGATAGGAAGCCATCTGTGCCCCGCCCCACAAAGGCAGACATGAGCAGGTGAAGCAAGGCGGGATCCTGAAGGGTCAGGAAACATCCTCAAGACCCACCTTCCATCCCTAAAACCCCAGGCACATCAGAATCCCCACGGTGTTCTCCGGCGGAGAGTGGGGCTGGCCTGAGGGATCGGGCGCTCTGGGTCCAGGCAGACATGGGTTCAGATCCTGCCCTCTCTACTGGCCACATGGCAAGTTAATTTACCCTGCTGAGCCTGTTTCCTCAGCTGTAACACTGACTGTGAACCCAGTCACTGGATGGTGGAGTGGGTCAGATGAGACCGTGTGTGTAAAGGGCTTAGCTGGTGCCCTCCTCAGGAGACCAGGGGCCCACGCTCCTCTGCACGCTGGCGTGCTTTCTGGAGTTCCCACAGACACCACGGTGCCCTGGATGTCATGTGCACCCTTGATGCTTTTCTGCTGGGGGCACTCGGGGTCAGGTGGAAGAGAAGAGGGGTTGTGTTCCTGGGGCTGGAGCTTACTGGGGAGGATTTGACCACTGAGACTTTATGGGGAGCCTTCAGAGAGGGGAGCCAGGGAGAACCCCTCGGGTGACTGGCCATTTCCTCCTGGGGGTCCATTTTGTTCTTCATGCTAATTTTGGCTCATAGAGAACGGGGCCTGGGGTGGGACTGGGGAGGAGACCTTAGTTGCCATGGTGGCATCTCACCCATGTGTGCCCAGTGAGTACCCCCTTTCTGGTGAGCCGAGCCTTCTCTGTCATTTTCATCCTGGGTGTGCTGGCTGCCCAGAAAGCCATTCCTGGATGCTGGGCCCAGCTTCTCCCACCTGAGGGATGTCACCTCACAACCCATTCACGGTGGCCCCAGGGAACGTCTTGCACTCATCCCCAGGGCCACAGGGATACTCGGAGAGACCTTTCTGGGGTGTCGAGTTGGAGGTGAGAGCTTACAACAGGAGGAAAGCATCTCCAAGGGGAGCACTATGAGAAGCGGGCACCTCTGCACAGCCACGCTCACCTGGCAGGGTGGTGCTTCCCGGCCCTGGCTAAACTGTCTGCAGGTGGTGATGCCAGGAGTACTGTGGGGCACAGCCAGATATGAAGGCCAGTTCCTCAGAGAAGCCTCTTTTGACTTCAGAATTTAAATGAGCTCCAGGCCAGAGTCTCTCAGAGCACAGAAGGGTCCTCTTCTGCCAGAGCACCTTTCCTCAGTGTCTTGTTTGCCCCACAAGTGTGAAAGGCTCTCTGGGGAGGAACTGGATTGTTAAAATTCACCACTAGGGAATAAGAGTGAAGCTCCGCCTCAAAAAACAAAAAACAAAAAAACAAAAAACCTCCTTCCCCCTGCAGAAAAGCTTGTTCTTTCTAGCCAGAGACCCTGGAAAGGGGCAGCCAAGCCCAGCTGAGCTAGGAGCTGCTGGCACAGCTGGCTACTGTAGAGCTGCCACATTTCTGCTACAGTTCCTGCCAGCAACGCAGACACCGACTTTCTGCTTTTTTTTTTTTTTCTGGAGATGGAGTCTTGCTCTGTCACTCAGGCTGGAGTGCAGTGGCATGATCTTGGCTCACTGCAACCTCTGCCTCCTAGGTTCAAGCAATTCTCCTGCCTCAGCTTCCCTAGTAGCTGGGATTACAGGCACGTGCCACCCCGCCCGGGTAATGTTTGTATTTTTGGTAGAGACAGGGTTTTGCCATGTTGGTCAGGCTGGTCTCAAACTCCTGGCCTCAAGCGATCAGCCCACCTTGGCCTCTCAGAGTGTTGGGATTACAGGTGTGAGCCACTGCGCCCCCTTTTCCTCCTTCATGTAACCTGTGTCTTAGCATGGGCTGCTATAACAAATTCCCACAGACTAAGTGGCTTAAACAACAGACATTTATCTCTTATTGTTCTCGAGGTGGGGAAGTCCAAGGTGAAAACGCCGGCAGACCTGGTGTCCTACGAGGGCCCAGTTTTTCCTGGTTTACAGTTGGCTATCTTCTTGTATCCTTGCATGGTGGGGAGTGGGGGAAAGAGAGAGGCGGAGGAGAGAGCACTCTTGTCTCTTTTTATAAGAGCACTAATCCTATTCGTGATGGCTCCAGCCTCATCACCAAATCACCTCCCAAAGGCCTTACCTCGAAAGAACATCATGCTGGGGGTTAGGTTCCAACATGTCTGTTTCAGGGAGGACACAGCCATTCAGTCCATAGTCTAGGACTAGGTTCAGTGCAAACCTAGTCCTGGATTCAAACAGCTAGCGCACCCTGGCTTTCCGCTTCTCCCCTGAGATACAGCTTCTCATACTTTGAGATGAACTAGCCCTGCCAAGGCCTGGTGCCCCTCCCAGCGCCCTCCTTCCAAATTAAGACTCTCAGATCTAGGATGGGCGTGATGGCTCATACCTGTAATCCCAGCACTTTGGGAGGCCGGAGCAGACGGATTACGTGAGGTCAGGAGTTAGAGACCAGCCTGGCCAACATGGGGAGACCCTGCCTCTACTAAATATCCAAAAAATAGCTGGGCATGGTGACAGGTGCCTGTAATCCCAGCTACTCAGGAGGCTGAGGCAGGAAAATTGCTTCAGCCTGGGAGGTGGAGGTGGCAGTGAGCTGAGATTGCACCACTACACTCCAGCCTGGGTGACAAGAGCAACACTCCATCTCAAAAAAAAAAAAAAAGACTCTCAGATTTCCTCCCTCTAGGCCTCCTCCCCATGAGCTCCCAGGTGTTGTCCTGAGGAGCACCTGAGTGTCCCTCAGCTTCTAGTCTGCCTGGTCCCACCTCGTTCACGTCCGCTGTGGGGGACCCGGGAGCACAGGATTGGGCTCTGAGCTTTTCTCCGTCCATGGACCACTCCCCCACCATGGGCCCCAGCCCCGTCTGTCCTTCTAGGTCCATAAACTGGCCTCTTGGCAGGGCCCACTCCCCTGGGATGGTGTGAGGAACGTGCGCGCTGGCGTGTGGAAATGGACCCTTCTGTTCTGCCGGAGGGTATTGAAAAGGCTCTGTGTGTGAGTGCCGTGGGAGAGAGGCCTGGGAAGGGCAGGAAGGCTGACGTGAGCCATGAGGCTGCAGCTCGTGGCCACGGGGCCAGGGTCTGGGCCTTCCCACTGTTTACAGTCCGTCGCTGAGGTGTTTGTCCAGTCTCTGCTGGGGTCCTGCTGGAAGGCTTTTTAAAATAAAATTCTCATTTCTTTCCTAGACCAATACACACACCGAACAGCGGCCAATACCGCATTTATTTTTCTTGTGGACACATGAGCTCACTTTCTGAAGTTCTTTGGGAGGATGTCCTGGGGCAGGCTTTTTGCCAAGGTGACAGGGCCCCTTTGGGGTGTGAGGTGGTGCCATGAGAAGGCTCCTGATCAGAGCTGAGGACAGAACCCATGAGGACCCCAGGGTGCTGCCATCTCTGGATGGCCCCAAACAGTGGTCTGTTAAAGCCCTGGCCTTCTGCCTTCAGCCCTGCCCTGGACGGCCACGGACCATCTCCACCTAGCAGCCAGCGTGACTTTTGAAAAATGAAAACTGCACCCTGTGAAATCATTCTTCTGTTGAAACCACCTGAACAGCTCTCCATCCCACTCGGTAAAACCCAAACTCCTCACTGTGGCTTGTAAGCACTTTGTCCTAAGGTGAAGCCTGTAGACCCCTTATCAGAAGAATGCTTTTATATATAAAATAGAATACATAGGGTTGCAGAGGAAACTGATCCTTTTTAAGTATGCTTACCACATGCTTCTAAAATGTATGATACAGAAATAGACGTGCTTCTTTGTTAATACGTTAAATTATAAGGTCTAACTGTGGGTCTAATAGCTATTGTAATTTTGATTTATTTATTTATTTATTTCTATTTATTTATTTTGCCACAGGGTTTGACTCTGTCGCTCAGGCTGGAG